CTAAAGCAGTATTTTCAGGGGGAGAAAGGTGCTGTTTTCCCAGCGGACAAACCCATAGTCCTCTGTTGTGATTTTGGAGGTGAATGTAACTGTACTGATAATACATAGTTAGTATTTGTATTAGCCCCATGTAACAATGGGCATGAAAATAAAAGGTTTTGGCTTTACAATCAGTTTATTCAGTGGCTATTTTAGCTGTTTTGATGTGCATTGTGATTTTATTTCAAAAGAAAGGAAACTTCTGGAGTCAAATCAGGATTCAATGTATTCAGTCAATCTGAGTATTACTCCCCAGTTTGGCTTTAAAATGAGCAGCATCTACTCTTGTTATTTCTGCTTTGGAATTACTAAGTTCATATATAAAGATTAATTAGAAAAATAAATGGGATAAGCTGATTTACATAGTAGTACAGATTATTTTGACCAAATAGAAAGCTATAAAATAAGAGTGATTATCTGTTGCAGTATACTGCTTTACAAGATGACATTGAATGGAAAAGGAAGCTGTGTATTTTTAGTCATCAGAGCTGAAATGACAGGGGACCTTTCTCAGCTTCAGCTGCTGTTACTGAAACATCTGCTTATGTCCTAAAACCCCTTAATGCCAGAAGATCTAAAACATTTGGCAGCCTTTCCACATAAGGCCAACAGATCTTTTACATTCTTTAGTTGTCTAAATAAGATTTTGTAAAATGACAGAGAAAAGATAAGGAAGAGAAATTTTTTTGTCTTTTTTTAAAAAAATACATATATACACACCTGTATATTTTTTAAGAAAATAAAACTTTTTTTTTTTCCAAAGATTCTCAGGTTTTTGGGTAGATTTAGCTACACTGGCTTTCTTAGAGTATTTGATAGAAATGTATTGATAGAATAATCATGATTACTCGTGCACAAGATGACCACCCAGTCAAATATGCATACATAGTAGCTCCGAGCAACCACTGTATTGTGAATGTTAAAGATGTCACCTCATAAGATAAAATGACAAGTTCATTTATACACACTGCAAAATTGTAATTAAAAATGTCAGTGTATGAATACTAAAAGTTCATTTAGGATATTATGATATTTCTGTAGCACAAGTAATTTAAATTTTTCAGTACCGATAAGCTTTTCAGTCTAAAATAACCAAGTAAAATAGGTATTTACTTTTTAAATAGAGCAAAGCTGATCAAGAAAAGGAGTTTGTACTTGATGAACATATGGAGAAGATTAACAGGTATTCAGCAATCTTTCTTCTTTTTATTCTTTTGGATAGAGAACATTAAGTTAAATCCAGTAACAGTATCAGTGTTCCACAGATGAAGTGATAGAAATGACATTCAAGTTAGTCATTTAAACTTTTTTGTCTTTAGGGAGCTTTATCTGAAGCTCATTAAATATTTCACTTGTCAGTATACTTGAGCATATTTGCCTGATTCTTACACCATTATATTAAGCAACTACCCTATGGCACATGAAAATGAGCATTTTCTATAGAAATTGGATGGGGATTTGTGGGAGTAATTGATCAGTTGGACAGGAAATGTTATGTAGCACATCTGTACTCATTGGTAGAAGGCCATTTCCATGATTGGAACTTCTGTGTTCAGAAAGGAAGGAGAAATAAGTGAGAGTGGTAAGAAGCAGCTAAAACCCTTGAAGAAGGATGGCAGTAACTAAGTTTAGAGACGGAAGATGTTGACACCAAACCAATAGAATGGAGCTGATAACTAAAGATTTGATGTGTTATAAAAATACAGATAAGGCTGATGGTAGTAATTAAAGTTTTGGATAAAAATCAGAGTTTGTAAGTGAGGTTTATTGAAATGCTAGAGATTTGTAAAGGAAGAGGAGATGCCTGTCAACTGAGTTACTTAAAACTGAACAACAGGGAACACATTGCTAAGAAAAGCCAAATCAGCTGGTTATGCTCTGTTTCTAATTTCTGTTACTAACACTTCATAGGGAAGGGGAAGGCTGAAGCAGTTCATTCATTTATTAACTTACATTTTTCTTTTAGTCTTTTTTCAGCAAATAGCATGGAAGAAATTGTTAAAAAACTAAAGCAAGATGGTTCTCCTTTTGCCATTAAGCAGCTAGAGGTAATGTCTTCTATGTTATTTTTGTTAGAGATTTTAAGTCTGGTTCTGTACTTTCTTATCATGAGGCAGACTTTAGTCACCTTATTAACATAACTAACACTACGTAACACCAGTAGGACGTTGGACTGAGATCCTCAGGTTCTCACATATAGTCCTGTGGGATTGTTAGTAGTTCTACTCAGACAAGAATATTCCTCTGTAAAACCACACAATGTGAATACCATCATATGTTGCATAAAATTGTAATCTAGTTAAAAAAAACCCACCAAACCTCCCGTTCCCTTTTCACCTCCCCATGATCGGGGGTTGTTGGTGACAAAGGTTCCTTTTATAGCTTCTCATTTTATTGCCAAGGGTTGGAATAAAACTGCCAGAACAATGTTGTTCATTTTCTTCCGTTCCAGAAATCTCATTCGGGTAAATAGCAAGCAATTTATGATCACAAAGTATTTTTTGATCTTTTTAATGCATTTCTGAGTGTTGGATGTAGTCACAACTCAAAAAATGTACAGTAGTACTACACATTTAATACACATTTCAGCCTCAAAAGCAAGAAGCAATTTATATTCATTTATAAGTAATGTATGTATTTCCTCTTTTTCCTTTGAAGTATCTGTATTCAGGTGCCTTGTAAAAATTTGTCTTGGAGCTATTCAAATATTACTTACAATTGCATAGAACACAAGCATTTCTCCAAAAAAAGCTTTTTTTTAACTTTAGTTACAGGTCATAGAAGAAATCCTGCTCCTGTAATAAAATAAAAACACCCATCATCTTCAGACTCATTTGAGCAAAGGAATATAATTTTATAATGTAGTATCATTAACATTAGGCATCCTGTCCCAGATACACAGATACATTATTTAGTTTTTAATTAAAGATTTAACATTTTGTCACTGGAACTCTCAAATAGGTTTTGAGAAAGGAAGTTTTAAGATTAACTTTGTGCCAACCAGCACGCCTAGTACATTGCAAGAAGCTTAGCATATGTATTAAAAAAGCAAAATTGAATGAAAGGGAAAGCTAATTTTTTTCCCCCACTTGTATTCAAGTTTCATTGAATAAAGTAGTCAAATGAGCTAGTGCCAGAATAATAATTTTAGGTGTTTGTAGATATGAATTCTGCCATAGGCTACCATCATGGTTTCCCCCCAAACTATATAGTCTGTATGACTCGGTTCTTCACTTTTTCCCCTATGTTATAGATGGCAGGGAAAGTACTTATATTAAGGTCTGTTGAGACAGTTTTATAGCATGTTAATAGCAGTCACTTTTGGTGGCTCTTATTTCTTTATAGTATTGAGTTATAAGGCAGTATTTTATTTGTAGATTTTATAAAGTCTAATATAATTCTGCAGGGATATTATATTGATTAGTTTCAGTGGAGGTTGAAAACAATCAAGAATTATTTGCATATAGCTTTTCCTAAGTTAATTTCATACAGTTTTATGGCACTTTAAAACATAATCAGACCTAGTGGAACTTTTTAAAATAGCATATAGCCTTTAAAGGGTGCTTTGTTCAAAATACAGTTTCTACTACAAAAGATGCAAGGAGTCTGGAAACACTGTTACTGAAATATATTAGCTAGATAGTTTGTTCTGCCACATTTGCTCTAGTTACCCAAAGGTGCTTGACTTGCTTCCTTCATCTGCAGCCTCATAACTCAGATCTTCTCTATTAAAAAAAAAGTTCTTGTTCCTTGTTGTTTGGGGGGGTACATTTTTTTTCATAGTTTTAATTTAGAACTTAAAACTGTGTCATCTACTTCAAAGTTATGATTTTGTGTAACTTTTTTTTAAATTCCTGAACAAAAAAAATATGGCTTTTTTGTTGCTTCTTCGGTTTTCTTATTTCACGTCTTTAATAGGACTTTATAGCACCTTTTTTCTTTCATATGATTGATAAATGAATGACTGTCCTTGGAGTTGACTGAAGTTCCTGAACAATTGTATGTTCTGTTCAAGAGACTGTGTTAATATGAGTTCCTTCTGTCCATACAGAAATTTGTGGAAAAAAGCCACCGCACATTTTCTAGCAGGTGCAAGGCTTATTAGTGTGAACAAATACATAAGTTTCAGACAAGTTTCTAACAGCACATATTCTGTGCTAAGCAGTAGGATTAAGTAAGCTTGTAGGATCAGATACTTAATTTCTTCTGTGAAAGATCCACAAAACCAAAGAAGGAAAATGCATTTGTGAGGGGAAAAAAGTTAAAAGAGGATTCAGGTATAAATCTGGCTTTCTCCAGGAAATGCTTGTCAGTTAAACTGGAGGTTTTGTTTTACTAAGGAAGCAGAATTGTAATTAAACTTAACTGTAGCTGGAGGAAGTATGGTAGCTTGCACCCTGGCAGCTGAGCATTTTACACCACCTACAGACAGAGCACTGGCCTGCTGTCACTTCACTCAGAGGAGCAGAGTTCAAAGAACTGGTTAGAGCAGGGAACACGTAGCAAAACCACAACAGTCTGAGATTATCAGACATTATCATTGATAGCAGTTCGCTGACTTGTGTGAAGCAAGTCATTTTCCTTAGCAGTAGTAAGTACCAAGAGTATGTCCATAGATGTTAGTTTCCTGTCACTTTGTGAAACCAAGGTTTCACTTTAGTGTCCAGGCACAGGAACAACAGCACATTAAAATGATAAGTGTAGAGACTGTAAAGGATTCAGTAACAGCAATGTATACGCTCATTTTCTTTGTTTCCCTGTATATTTATTATGATATGTATTAGTAAGCTTATGGAATAAGCCCTAACAAAGTCCAATACAAATACCCTTGTTTTGAGGTACACCTTGGTACATCCACACCTTGGATGTACAGATACCTTTTGGTGTTAATAAAGTGGAACTACTAGTTCTGCTATAATCCAAGTATGCTCTGAGCCATGCTATCCTAGGTATCCTGTTCTGTTCAAACTACAGTACTTCTGCTTTTTACTTTCAAAACAAGCCTGTTTGGCAGGCTTCCACATGCCTGATACTAAAGTGGTTTGCATGAATAAGAAGAATGTGAAGTTGTTAAAATTCTACTTGAGAATGGCTTCATGATTTAAATCACATTTTGAACCCAGTTACAAATAGGTAGAAAGCTAGAGTATTAACACACTTTTTGAACTCATAGTAAAATATCTTTTAAAACTTTAAAGGTTATAGCATTACTTTGTTTTCAGGATTACACGAGCCAAAAAGCTTTAATCTGAGTGACAGAAGTACAACTTCTAATTAGATGAAGTAAGCATATGGGGTCAAAACCTGAAAAGCATCAGATCATAGAATAGTTTGGTTTGGAAGGGACCTTTAAAGGTCATCTAGTCCAACTGCCCCCCTGCAACAAGCAGGAACATCTTCAACTAGATCAGGTTGCTCAGAGCCCCGTCCAACCTGACCTTGAATGTTTCCAGCACTGGGGCATCTACCACCTCTTTAGGCAACCTGTTCCAGTGTTTAATGACCCTCATCATAAAAAATTTCTTCCTTATATCTAGTCTAAATCTACCCTTTTTTAGTTTAAAACCATTACCCCTTGTCCTATCACAACAGGCCCTACTAAAAAGTTTGCCGCCATCTTTTTTATAAGCCCCCTTCAAGTATTGAAAAGCCTTGGTGCTTTCTTATAGCTTTTTTTGGCAGCACAGTGCACCTTCTGACCACTGATGCTTCATGATTTAATGGCCTTCATTGGTACTGAATGAATTCCAGTGTAGTTGCAGGACACTGCAGAGACTTAAGAATTACAAGACACCTTGTCCAGATCTACTGGTCAGGCTGGGATGCATACACTAGCTCCTGAAACTTTAAATGGGTATGCAGCGAGTGGGTGAGAGAGATTACAGGAATGAAGCTGGATGTTATCTTGGTAGTGTTGAATTCAAGTCAAGAAGCATTCTGAAACTCTCTTGAGAGTGATGTATCTGTCCTTAAGCAGCTTTCCTGTGATGCTTTGGCTAGATACTCATATTTTGTCAAAGCTCATCCAGAACTATAGTTTCGTGCACAAGAACAAATGCTTCAGTATCTCAGAAAGTAAGTGATGAGTGTGTGCATCTATTGCAAGGGAAGTGATACACTGGACCTCTGGGAGGTTTTTTTTGTTTGTTTTAACTTGAAAGCCTCCCTCAAGGACCCTCAGCAGCTCAGGTCAGAAACTTCAACGGGCCTTGAAGACAAAAAATGCAGCCAGTTTTCCAGCTGTTACTCTTGTAAGAGACTCCACTGAGTCAGTGCCACTTAATTCAGTCACCTTCTGATAGTATCTTACTGGAATTTGGGTCTATTGCAAGTTCAGCTTGTAGCTTTCAGGATCATTATGTTGAAATCAAGATGGTCTCAAAGATACTGGAATAGATGTCACAATACTTCTATGAAGACTTCTTTGCATTTTAGTGTTCCCCACTTCAGCCTATCCTATCTCCTTTTCAGGCTTGTTCCCTAGCACTGATCCCCTCCTCCTCCTCTTTGTACAGAGAATTTATTTATAGATACACTGGTGACTCATTTTGCTGCAATTACACCTACCCATTTTCTTTCCTTGTTCCTCTTCCTTCAGCTTGATTTTTGGCAGTGCCTCCTCCACCTTCAACCTCATTGATATGCCAAGATAAGGCCCCTGCTGGATGCACTAGACTAGTTAAGTGCTGTTTTCAGATCTTCCCCATTTCAGTGCTTTCTTTGACCAGAAAGAACTTGCCTTTACCATTTCACCTAGGGAAACATCTGGTTGCCCTGTGCTTACCATTTAACCTGGTCTGAATAAAGTCTCTCTCATCTAGATGACAAAATGTGAAACTCAAAGAAGAAAAGGTCCAGTTCAAAGGTAAAGCCAGCAAGAGCACATTATGAGAAATAAGGGGTCCAGTTAAGAGTTGCTATCCATCTGAGACCTACATAGTGATGTAATTAGAGGTATAGCTGGTTTCTTTATCTGCTGAAAGACAGCTCATTGTTAGAGAGCTTTACCGGAACTCAGGAAATGTTGACACTTTGAGCCAGCATTAGTTCTTTCTAAACCAGCTTCTTTTTCAAGCGAAGTGGTCAACATGCAAATAACAGAATGACAGAACCAGTACTTTTAAGGTACAATTGCACAGCCTCCTGCTTGTATATCAACTGCATGTTTTCCAGCTTAACTAGGCAAAATGGGTCACTGCTGTATCAGCTGGTGTCTGGAGAGGGATGAAGAGTAATTGGGAGCCAGAAAAAGTGTTAATGTTGATGACCTGCCATTTCAGTCTGTGGGTAAGGAGTCTAATGTCTGCAATGAAAATAACATAGAGAGGCAAATCTTACCATCTGCCACTTTTCAGTAGTGGTAAAAATGTCCTAATTAACAGGAAATGTCTATTGTACTGTGACTAATACAGAACTTTTAGTTAGGTTTACAGTAAGAGAGTCTTGTTTAGAGTAAGGAAACAAAAATCAGCAACAATAAGATTTAGCTCCTTTCCCCCACAACCCTGAAAGCTTTAAAGCTCAGTTCTGTTTTCTTAACTAGGTTTTTGTCTTTCTCCCCACCTACCCCTACTGTTTACTGGCATGCTGTTAATTGAAGGATAGTCATGAGAGCCAGATTTACCGCATTTGTTTGTGTGCCTTAAACAGATCCTGTCTGTTGCATAATATTTATAGCCTGTAGCTCTGTCAAAAGAAGGAAGGCGAGACCTCCAGGCTTCCTATCAGCAGACCAACGCAGGGCTAAATTACTGCAGTATCTGTTGATCCCAGACAAGAAGCCTGGACAAATATGCATTTATGCTTGATTCCTTTGAATATTTTTTTCTTCCACAATTTTCTTCTTCATATATTGTCTAGTCTTTGCAGATGATCATAAAGCAACTACTTAAAGTTTGTGGCTAATCTCACTTTATTACCTTACTACTCTGACTATTGTACCAAATGAAACTTAAATGCTGTACAGTACTAATATCAGCAACATCTAAGAGCGATTCAGACTATATATATGATATTCAAAAACGGAGTATACTTGCTTGTAACACTCACCTTCACCTCTCAAAAAAATCTGTTTGGAAATGGCTTTCAAGCTGCATTAGATTCTCTGGCTAGTAGTAATTTGATTATAAATTATGTGACCTTAGGAGTTTTAGGCTTTCCACAAGTGATGGCATACATCCCAGAGATCTTGCTGATAAAAGTTTATGCAAGTAAGTTTAGTATGACAGTATGGTGGGAGGGAGCAGGAGGAATAGGTATCACGTAAGTGAGCTCAGGGAGAAGAGCGCCATCATTAACTTCACAAAGTTTAAAATGCAAAAAAGACAGACTTGCAAATGTGTCTAAATTGAAGAGAATAAAGATAATTGTTAATGTCTTCCCCAGACTATTAATAAGATGTCACCTACATCCTTAAAGATGACTCTCAGACAGCTCAGAGAAGGAGCTTCCATGAGCTTACAAGACGTACTCACAATGGAATACAGACTGAGCCAAGCATGCATGGTAAGCAAGCAGCTGAGCCCTTTGTCTCTTTCCAGCCACAAAGGAGTAACAAGTCTATCAGAGACTAAGTTTTATATAGATTACATCAAGGGCTCACAATTTATAGGTTTTCATTTTCAATGTCTTCTTTGTGTGTTTGTTAGGCTGTCACTTTCTTTTTTCCAGTTTCATGTCTTTATATGCAACTCGAAGCAGACTACGTTAATGATGGTCAGATGCGAAAGGTAGAGGGCTTTTGTTAAGAAAACTATGATCATGTTTTTTTATCTTTCAGAGAGGCCATGACTTCTATGAAGGGGTTCGGGCAGGTAAGCATGCACACCGGAAATGTTTCTCAAACTTAACAATATATGCAAGCTCCCTGTTACGTTGCTTCTCTGAACCTCCAAAGAAAAGCGCATGCAGCAACAGCCCAGAGAACACTTCCCAGCTTGCTACAGTTTTTGCTTATTGGACTCCTGTATGGCCAAAATTTATTATTTGTTCCAAAGTGTAGCAGCCATGTTGTTTCCTTTGTGCAATCTCAATTTCCTAATGTTATTTATCCACCTGGTAATGCAGCACCATGAAAAGGTTTCACCAGTTCATTGGGAAAGTTCAAAATATATTTAACGCTGACAGTAGTGGGTAGCTATGTGTATCATTTGTGTGTTCAGATTTAGTATTGCCACATAGCTGGTTCAGACAGCTATAAGATGGTTTAAGACTCAAAGTCAAGAACAACTATTTGCATAGAAAATTGTTAGAACAGAGACTACTTTCACCCACATCCAAAATATCTCTGTATAGAGGTGTCTTACTATTAAAAAACTATATATGTAAACTTAATGTTAAATAATTCAGCATTTTAAGGCATTGGTCAAGATAGGTAGTGGTAATAGTAGAGCAGCAGCTCAGCACGTTCATATAGGGGACAGACTTAGACTCTGTCCTTGATTCTACTGCTGATTCACTATGCAGTTTGTCAAACCCGATGTCACATCTGTTAGAAACTGTAGTAATTATTTATGTACTATTCAGCACAAGATGAAACAAAGCACAGGCATTTCCTTTTCCAAGGAGCTTAGAGTACAAGACATTTGGATGAATAACACTTTAGGGTTGAGGGAACCTGGCTTTTAATTCACATAGTTACATGCTTGCGTATATATTATCACCTCCTCCTCATTTTTTATATCTGTCTTTATAAAGTAGTTTAAAATTCACTTGAGTAGTGGATATTAGTTTGAATGTTCACTATTAGTAATACTGTATTAAAGATAGCTTGGGGTGAGAGATGCAGTTTGTACAGCGTGGAAAAAGTTTCTGATTTTAATTAATTAACATTTAGCACTTATTAGCAGAGACTCCTTTGAAAAATTTACCACACATGTTGAGAAGTACGTGGTTTTCATTGTATTGGTAATGGGGACAAAGATATCTTTAAAAGAATATTCCTGGGATATATTCTAAATCACCATATAAGCTGCTGAAATGTAGTTATTCAGGAAGTGACAAACTCAAAGTCTGAGAGCCAGATGAACACCAAACCAAATTCTCACATGTAACGCACAAGGTCATTAAACCATCTGGGGATGCAGTAGAGGACAAAAGTAAATCACTTGTCAGTATGGCCAGTAAATTACACAAACTGCTTGTAAAGAAAGAAACTGCAAGAACAGCAGTTGGGAAGCTTCTCTCTTACATAGGATGATGTAGCAAAGGCTTAACTATATCAGGGGAACTAAAAAAACCTCCAGAGATCCAGCTGCACTGAGGGGATTGCTCAGAATAATAATTTGTTCTTGAAGCACTTTTTCCTCTCTGCTTACTGCATGTATCTTGCTCTCGGATTTGTCATCTTAAAATTGTTTCTCGTGTTTAAGAGTGATGCAGAATCTGATGAAGATCATTGTTGTAGTTGGGTCTAGTCTCATAAAAATCATTATCCAACAATGTGCTGAGCATCCTTTTTAATAGGAAGTAAGATTATTAAGTACTTCACAGGATCAACCACAGTGAATAAAAATGAAAATGATAAAGATGTTAATTTAAGTATTAGCTTTTTCTTTATTAAAACATTACATTCCAAGCATTTAAGAGCCAGCTGTTGACCCTGTCTACCACAACAGGATCTACCCACAAAGTAAAGATATAATAATCAGATTTTAGTTTTTGAAGCAGCAATGGCCATAGGTCAAGTTTTAATAACAGCTTTTACCTGCTTCAAATCATAATTTTAATAGGAATGCTAGGGAAGTAGTTCATTTAAAAGCTTATTAAACCTGTTTTGACCCAAGGTCAAAATTTCATTTTTCTTTTAGCCAGTTTTCTTTCAACCAGACTGGAAATCTGCTGGCAAACAGTCTTCCCCATTTAGAATTCTTGTGATGGGAGCTACTAAAGAAAAGCCAAAACCCTTAAAGCATAAAATACACAGATCATATTTCATCATATTTCATCAACATTTTCCCATATAATGGTAAATGTGGTCTTTGAACACTTTAGATATCCATTTTTCACCTTGATTTATAGAATAGGACATAAACTAAGAAATGCATAGCTCTGGGTAATTTCCAAGAATTTTGTTTTTTTAATTCTTACTGCATAAGAAAAGTGGGCATTTCTGGAGTCAGTGCTCAAACACATCCAGTTAGACTACAATCTCAACAGCCTGAGGGGACAAAAATCTGTTAAATTAGCCTCCTAACTATTTGTGCAGGAATGTATATTTCAAATGGAATTGTAAAGGCCTTCTACGTATTGCTGATCCTGCAAAGATCTTATTTCTGTATGGTTTCTGCCTTCTCTCCTGCAGTGCTAGCAGCTGGCAGATGTGAGCCTTACCCTGGGCACACAAACCCCCTGCAGTCAGTGAGTAGGTAGAAAGATTTCATTGCAACTAACAATTTCAGGTGCTTAGAGATATCAGTGTTTTGACTGTGCTGAATGAAGCTAAGCAAAAGAACGCTCATTGAAATCCGTAAAGTCACTGCTACTGAACAGAGGAGGTTTGGATTTTTTTTTTTTTTTTTAGAAAAGGTAAAACACAAGAACAAACCCTTAACACAATGTCTATGTTCAGTGACTTTTATCTTGATTAACTTCCCTTAGCCTACCTTAGAAGTCTTCAGAATTTTTGTTCTGTTCTTGTATTGATCGATATCTCAAGCTGGGAAAACATAAAATATACAAAGTTAATGCAGAAAGGAAATATTTTCACAATACTATTAGAAAATAAATATTTGAACTCTAGAAGATTAAGATTTCATTGGGGAGACCATTATGAGCCTTCAGTTTATCCACCAGAGTAAGACTGGCCACAGATCCAACAGAAAGATTAACTTGATTACACAGTAGTGCCATAGAGTGGAGAATTATTAGCAATTACTATTGTATTTCAGAGTTGAAGCTGTAGTAGTATACCCGTGGACTTTTTTCCTTTCTAATTTAAAGCATCTCATCAGCATTGTCTTTTGTGGATAGCAGTTAAGATTATTTTGGCCAGATTATGAACTTCTTCTAAAGTTGAAGAGAATCATTAGCTAAGTACTACTCCGATGGAATAAACATAGTTGATTTGGAACAATTACGTATTTTGACCAAAACCAATCAACGGCTTCACATCACAATGATTAAAATTACAGAATCATAACTTTTCATAAGTTGCCCAGTTGAATGACCTAGTAAAATCACTCTTTTACAGCACATTTCTTTTAAAGAATTGCTCACATGGATTCTACTCTCTGTGGAATTGCAACTTCTATGTAATGGGTTTCTTTTCAAAATTAGTGTTTATTTGTATCCAAGGAGTCCTTAGTCCTGTATTTGCAGGTAAACGGATGCAGGGCTCTGATTCTCCTTTCTCTTTGGAGATGCAAGCTAAAGAGTTGTGATGCCGGTACATCTTCAGCTACAGAAATATTAATTAGTGCAGTTGTCATTTGAATGGTATTTATATTCTAGGCATTTTCCAAGCGTTGGTTATAGAGGGAGAAGTTAAAAAGAAGTTTTCAGGTCACATTTTTTACCATAAACTGCCATAATGCCCATCTTTTGATAAGACACAATCTTTAGGTGGGCATTCTTTCCACTGAACTTAAAATCCCAACTCCTTCGCACATTTCTCATCCTGGATGGTTCTAGTTTAGTCACCAAGAATGAAGTCTGTTTAGAAAGACATGACAACTTACCAAAAACCAGCTGTTATTCTTCAAAATATCTAGTCTCTGTGAGTGTCTTCTGTCCACATGCCTTTAGAACCATCCTACTCTGAAGTCTTTGTCAGAAAGAAAAAACAAACAAACAAATTCTGCTCTCAGCAGAGGAACTTGAGAAGTGCTTTCTGCCCATCCTCCCTTATATGCTGTGGGTGGTGTTGGTGGGTGGTGTTGGTCAGGAGGTCTCCCAGGACACAGGTGCATCTCCAAATCAGGTGCTGATATCACACATCTGAAGGGAACATGTGTTGAGGAGGGATGTTGGGTAGTCAGTGCATCCTAGAGAGCCACAGTTACTATACCGTTCTTTTTTAAATTATAAAAATTTCACATTTTTATAGCACCTTTATGGGTTTCCTTGGGGCCAGAAAGGTGCTCAGAAGGACACTCTGGAATTGCATTGATATTGGTCATTTTTACACACAAATAAACTCTCTCTTGTCTTATTATTGTTTGCTAGTGCAGCTGTTCTTGCTGACATGCCTTCAACATTCCCGTGATACAAGGAATGCTTTTTGAGAATTGGTATTTTCTTGTTACACTTTTATATGCGATTCATTCGCTGATGATTTTTTCTTCAGTGATGTATTTCTCAGGATACAGTGTAAAGTATACATACTAAGATTATACAAATCTTCAGTTAAATCTACATAGGTCTGCAGTATCTGTCAGTATTTACAAATAAATATTCTTGATTTTCCCACAAAGATACTCTGCTTTACTCTTTCCTCATTAGTTATTTCATTATTAGTTTATATGATGTGTTTAAATTAGCTTTAGGCATTTAACACTTACTTTGAGTCATCTCCTATACTCTACAAAGAGTCAGATATTGCAGAGAGATGTGAAAGACCTTGTTCAAAAGGAGCATTATGCTTACTGTTCCCAGTTTCCCATGAAAAAGCAGAAGACAGGCAAGAGTAGCAGGTCTAACAGAAAGCACTAATTTCAGGTCTATTCCTTCAAAGCTTGGGCTACTTCTGAAGTGATCCACTGTTCCTTGTATCATCAGGCAGCTGCCAGATACATCTCTAGACAGGTCACAACTCAAGAATTTTTATTAGAGTAGAAATATATATGTTTGTTACAAAAACTCTGTCTTCTCCAGAGCATAATGGTTTTTTCTCCCCCACGTATTCCCTGTAGTTGTCTGTCTTGATGCAATCTGAAGTCATCTTAATTAGAGAAAGTTTACAAGCAACTTTTGTGTTTTATACTCCACCTGACAGTGCTGATTGACAAAGACCAATCCCCCAGATGGAAGCCAGCTGCTCTAGAAGAAGTCAGTGATGAATTTGTGGATGATTGTTTTAAGCCATTGGGAAGCAACGATCTCAAATTGTAAAGATCAAGCCTATTGACATCTTATACATCTGCTTAATTGTATGATATAAAAATTAATAGTAGTGTGATAAAGTTTGACAAGACTCTTTTAGCTAGCCTGAGATTCCTGAGTCTAATTTTTTTCATTCAGGAAATTCTCTTTTGTTATGCTGCCATAATGACAAAATAATCATATCTCTGGTTAATAAGGGGAAAAAATACTTCAAAGCAAATTGTTATTTTTACCACTTTACACAATGATTAATATTTAATTTTTTGCATCTTAGTTTAGGAGGAACCTTTGGGGGAGATGGCATAGTTAAGGGATGACCTGGTACACAAGAAGTCAGGAGACCTTTGTGCTCTTGGCTCTGTCACTGATCTGTTAAATTGGGACTGTGCCTCAGATTCTTCTCTATGCAATGAAAATAAAATATACTTAAAGCGTTAAAACAGGCAGAGCTACAAAGGAGAATGCAAGACATGCTAAATCCATGATGTTAAGTAGTCTTTTAAATAAAAGGTCAGACTGACACATTATTAGTCTGAGAGCAAGAAATTGTTCTACTGATTTAACATTTGGTTGGTATTCAGTTGGTATTCATTGCTGTGTGATGTAGACATTGTTGCAAATGTCGGAATATTGCCAGTCTAGAGCACACTTCTGTTTGCTTGTAAAACCAATTTTTTTTAAAATGCCATTAAGTTTGATTGAACTGCATAATTAGTTTTTTGTGATTTCAAAAATTGCTAGTTTTTCCTGGTCTTACAGTGGTGAAGAAATAACTGTCTCAGACCTCCCTCTGAACGCCAAGCAGCACATTTCCTGTTGATGTTAGCGATTGTCTAATGATTTTAGTGGTAGAGGTCAGCCTGGCCCTAATACTACAAGTGGCTGGAGTTTATCTACACCAACTAGTCTGTGTTCCCGTTTGCTTGTGCCCATGAACATCCTGTCTGCTGAGTGGAAAATTGGTGAAAACTAGGGGGGACGCAGCAATATGTACTGAAGATAATGAATAGGGGAAAACATGAAATATCTGCTGCTAGACGGATCGTAAATTTTTTTAACACAACATATCCTAATAAATGTGTTTGTTGGGATCAAAATTTAAATACACATCAAAACCCCCTCGTTGTATGTGCATTAAGGGTTGCTGGGTTCTGATACTAATAATACTTGAAGTTTTATGACATAACCAGAGCCCCTTGATAAAAGTACAATCTTTTTGGGGCGTAAAATTAATTTTTCTATTGTGTATGCAACACATAGCTACTAATCTTTCTTCATCATTAAGACTGCATGCTTTTTTATGGTTAAGCAAATCATATATCAGTATCTCTTCCTACTTGTTTCTACAGTTATAGGCAGGTCACAGGTACAAATTTTGGCTTCTTTGAAGATGAACCACTGAAACTAAAGGAAAAAGTCTTTTGTTCAAATAACATAGTAATCAGCACCGGGGAATCAAAAAGTCAGAGCTATAGCAGAACTGTTAGAGAGCACGATATTCAACATTGGGCAGCTTTTATTACCGACCGTAATGGTCTACACTGGCTTAAGGCTCCTTCCTTCCTAGAAGCTGTTGCCTGGAAACAAAGTCCAGGAAATTCAGGCATCAAGGTGAACTACTAGAGTGACTTTCAAAGAATTAGAGGTGAGCAAAATGGAGAGCAAAATCAAGAAAAAATGGCACCTTGCTTTGTCACTAGAATCTTTAAGATAAAATTGTTAAAATTTCAGCTGCCAGTTAATGTTACCATGACATACTTGTTATGAGACAGTCCCCAAGTTTATTTTCAAAAGTAATTGAGAGATTTCATTAATATCTGTAGGGTAACTTCCGAACATATGACTTGAATTTCTACCTCATGCAGGTTCTGTAAGAAATGTAAACCTCCCCCCTTATTTTTTAAAAACTTTATATGTTTTAGATTCTTAAACAATGGCTATTTTTAATTTATTTTTTAAAAATTGGTTCATTCCATTATTTTTGTACAAAAGGAGCAATCTTCAGCGACTGTATTTAATGAAAAAAACAGTAATCCCCAGGGAGTAGGGCTCATGCCTTCTCTGATTGAAAAGGACTTAAAACGTTTTAGCAAGACTATACTTCTGAATCAGTAAACTTTGACTTGCATGTTCAGTTGCTTCCAAAATTTATGTGAACGGGAATTATGCCAAACTCATGGTAACAAGACCCTGTCCAGTCTGTGCATTTTTGTGAAATAAAAGTCTTACAAGCAAATGGTAAGTTTAATTTTATTTGGTCCACAAGAAAGTATTTTCCACAAAAATATTGTAAAAATATATTGTAGTGTGTTTTATTTGGGAATACTGATGTGTCTTACTACAGAAATGTCAATTTTACAAAGTTGTGCTGCAGTTAGCATGTTTTGAACCATTATTAGAATATCAACTCAGTCACATAGTACCCACTCAGACTATCTTATGTTTTCTGGAGAAAATATAAAGCAAGTGTATTTTTAACTCCTAAATAGAAGTAAATGGTTTTGCAGAGTATGCCAGTCCCATACTGGAGTGCCTTTATTACACAAAATCAAGTCAAAGAATCGGTGGCAATTTAGCTGGAAAGCCACTGTAAGTGGCCTTATAAGACTATAGCACAGTTTAGAGTAATCTAATGATAAGTAAACAGATGTAATTTCATTTAGGTAAAGAAGTTTTTATTTTTATTATGTATTACTATTGTGCCTATTAAAAATTCAGCAGAACTCTGGAACGAGATCTCCTTTGATCTCTCACCAGACTGTAGTACTGACCAGATTTTTTTTTTTTTTTAAGGGTAAGTAAGTGCATTCTTTATTCAGGACAGCGTCTTGTAAAAGAGATTATTTTCCTGGTGAGAAGCTGTCTCCCTGTTGTTTGTAAGCTTGCTTGTTTGCTTTCCGTTTAAGTGCCAATGTCATAGAAAGCATCATAAACCAGCTGGAATTGCACTTCAGGCCGTATTGAAGCTGCTGTAATCTTCAAGCATTAGTGAGGGAAGACAAGCTTTGTGGTTGCAGGTAAGTGACTGTTTAGACATAACAAACAGCAGGCAATTCAGTCGCTATCACGTTATGGGTGGCTTCTCTCAGCAAGCAGTGCAGCCGTCCCACACAGCAAGTGCTCCTAACGGAAGCTCACTGTGATGCATGTTTAATTATACCTAGGTAACTTTCTCCTTCGGGGAAAATTTTGACTGTTTATCAGTACAGATGCTATGACTTAACCTTAGGCTATTTTACCTTACAATTGTGCCTGCTGTTGGACTGTGCGGTGGCAGCCTGCCAATGGAGAAGCTGCTTTCAAAAGTGCACCTGATACTCTGACTCCAGAAGAGCACCAGATGCTAAGGCTACATCCAAAGAAAGGATTTGAGACATTGCAACAGCAAGCACTGCAACACCTAACTCCCCGTGGCAGCCACCAAGGTATTTGCACAAGGGTCGAGGCAGATATACCTAAATGCTCTCTTGAAGTGAGTGCAGTTTTCTATCTGCTATTCACCTATACCCACCTATCTGGCAAATAATGTCTATGGAGTTTGGGCTTTTTTGTTTTGGCTTTTTTTTTTTTTTAAATTAGTGTCTTTGGCAGTGTTAACATTCTCGAGCCAAGACTAATGTTACAGAAAGGTTGGCCTTTTTTTGTAATAAAGCTTTATTTTAGCTAAAAAAGATTCCTATTCTTATAATACTGTGGTTAAGCAATATCCAATTAATACATACTGATCTGATCAGTGTTTTGCTTTTGCTTTTTTAATTCACCCTAGTATATGGCATGGAGTGTTTTTAGATGGAGCAAATGTAGGGTATGATCTAATGTTTTACACGCTTTAGAGCTTCAAGGAGCATCACTGTTAGCAGTAGAATTTAAATGGGCCATCATACCTTAGTCCCACTTTATGTATAGCTTCAAAGAAGACTACATTACGTCAAAGATGACGACATTACCACATAAGCAGATTTTGTTCTCTTTTTCAGCAAAAGCCCGAGAACAGTCCTAGTAGCAGGGCCTAGTCTGGTCAGTGTGAATTAATGGCAGTTTTGTGCTGTGTTACAAAGAAGCATTCTTCACCGTTTCTCTTGATACAACCGCTTCCCTATACAGGTGAATTTCAAATAGCTAAGTCTGTGTCACAAAGTTTGCAAAACAGCTCAATTCATAGACTATCTTATGTCTGAGAATAAGCTAAAAGTAACAATTGACATGGTCCTCTTTCTGCTTGCTTACCATGGCTTGAAAATCATGCTTTGTATCATTTACTAGAACTACGTGTACCTTTTAAAAATAGTAACAGTTTTTGCCAGTATGGGAAGCATTTTTCTATAAAATGAAAACATAAAGTGGAAAGCACTTCGATGTAGGAAAAAAAATTACATCTTTTAAACTGGCCATAACAGAAAAAGGAACAAACAAGTGCTAAAAACCCAAGCTTCTACAAGGCATTCACTTTGTATAAAATGTCAGCAAAATTGTAGCTTTAAGATGACTATGATTAATTCATCCCTTTCTTGATATCTCAAATGCTAGTTATGAGTACAGTAGGTTAGGCTGCAAGTCCTGGAGAAGCGAGGTGCAGCGGTGTGGACGCAAGCTAGATAAAATCGGTAAAGAATGTAGCCCTTTAGCTTTGGGCCTAAGGCTTATTCACCAGTGCAGTGCACTGCTCGGGCTGTAGGTTTCTGTAGCTCCTATTTGCATCGCCATACACAGTTTTACTGACGGGTGAGCAATGAGCCTACAGAGGCTGAAGGAAGGCGTACTGTCCCAAGGGTGTTACTTTAGAGTGAAATTTTAGTGTAATGCAGCCATAGTTCCCATGAAACAAACAGTCCTACAACACTGTTACACCTTTGAAGGTTCATTTCACTAGTTAGCATCAGTAGTTTTTGCACACCTATCTGGCTTACAGTAAAAAACAAAAACCCCCAGAAACCAGCACCCTAACACACACACAAAAAAAACAACCAAAAACCAAACCAAAAAACTGAACAGCTTTGGTCTGAACACAGTGATCAGATGTAATTAAGCTATCTGACTGCAGGATTTTAGAGAATAGCCTTCACGCATTTACAGAAGCCAGAGCATCTGTTAATTATAATGCACTGTTTATCAATATTGTAACATTTCTCACTGGTTCACTTAAGAATGGAAGTTGAATAGTATCATAATCCATATGGTTCCCTGAATACTGCTTGGTTTTATAAAATGCTTCTCATCGCCTTCATTATTTTGTGGTTTACAGATTTAGTCAGGTCAAAGGATCAAAGTAAAATTTATGACAGCAGTTGTCTTTGCTACATGTAGACCTTGGTTTCACTTTAGCAAAACGCGGACAGTTTACCAAGCATAGAGAGTTCTTGTCTTTTCACCTACAAACAGGCCACTGATTTTTTACGCAGTATGTAAAAATAACCCATGCTTTGTTCTTAAGCATCTTTGGGGCCTCACTGGCAGTGCTTGTCCAGTTGCAGGGCAGCCACATTCTTCTCATCCTCTTTTTTACACTAGTTTCTGATCACATTCAACACGTACAAAGAATATACTCAACATACGGCTGATAACAAATGACACTTGATTAACATTCTACTGTAATCCAATTAGTTTCTTAGCAATATAGATTAAAAGGCAGGTTTTTTCAGCCACTCCTTGCAAACTCATTCATATAGTGGCATTGTGCTCAAATCACAGCTGATTTTACTTTATTTGCACTAGTACCAAATACAAACTGCTTAACAGACAGGACACTCACTGTGAAGACAGTCCTTGCTAGTCGGGGGTCAGGGCACATCACTTTCAATATAAGGGATGTCGCTATATTTGCTTTCAGTCACTGCCCACTGTTTCACCGCCTGATCAAGAATCTCACGGGAGAGACGGTGTGCATAGTCTAGCACTATGGTGCTTGATGGACCTTTCTCATCCACCTTCACTGCTATCAGTGATGATTTCTCCCCGGTGCATCCTTCATGACCTTCCCTGATCCTTTCATCCTGGATAGCATTTGAACCTGGAAAGGCATCCTTGGATTTGATGCATCCCATGGTACATTTGAAAATGCAGCTGCAAAATTCAGTTCAACAGCATGTTTCGATCACCTGGAAATGCTTTCCTTGTTTGATGCACAGTGTTGCTGCTTCTTGCCAGTGGTTCCAGTTATTTTCAAAGAACAGAACGTCTCCTTTTCTGCTTCTTTACTTCTGAAGAAATCTGTCAAAATAGTGTTTCATATAAATGCGATAAATAGTTTGCCATACTCAGTGAGCTCAAAGGAAAGCTAAATTCACTACAGACGCTTGTAGAAGCGACTTTAATAAATCTCTGCATGGTGTGCGTAAAACGTTTTTATCAGTAACATCCATCTACTACAAGTAGGCAAAGCTTGATCTGAATTCAAGCTGCCTTTGAATGCAATTCCCAGTATATGATGTAAGCCATCTAGGAATGTAAAGGTCTTAGGGGGAAAAAAAAAAAAAAAAATCTGTTTCTTCCACACTGACGATGCAGTGCTATTTTCCTGAATCTGTAAACGAATACTGTTTAACTCCAGTGACTGCTGCTGCTAAAGAAAATAAAAATAAAAACCAAACACACCCTACAGAAGCACCACACAACCACCACCTAACAAGAGCCTTGTGTCATGGGTGTTGCACACCCTTTGGGCAGGAGTGACACTAATTCTCCATGTCATTCTGCTGTTGCTCAAGGAGGCTTGATTGTGCAGCCACTAGAAGGTATTCACAAGAAACAAGAACTGCTTTTCATTTTTTCCCTTGAGGGGTTAGGGAAAACAGCAGCAGACTGCTGTGTTCAAGGCAGTTCCAACAGAGCTAGAGCACCGTTCTTACTAAAGCAGGACAGCTCTAGATCTAGGGAAGGGAGAGGGAGGAATGAAACACCTGACAGGGTCCTTTTGTCAAAGTCCTCAAGAATCAGAATTGGTCAGCCCCAAATTCTGGTGTATGTTTTTTTGTTTACTAGCCTACAAAACTGTTTCTCAGGCTACTTTCTTTACACAGGCAAAGCAGAATCTCATGATATGCCTGACTTTGCTTGGCATGAGCTTACCCACTTATCAGTTAATAGACTGCCAGCCAAAATAAAGACTGTGCTGCACAGAAACCAACTGTTCCCTACAGCTTCACCCGATGACGTTGTACTAAGGTCAGCCAAAGTTAAAGATTTTTTTGTAAATGGCCTTTGAAAACATAATCACGGCAAAGATGTTAAGCCTTATTTATTTGCTTTATATACTGGGGGAAATAGGGGCTCCAATCCAGCAACCCAATCACAGGCAAACATTTGCAGAGGAGATCAATCCCATTTGCAGGCAAATGGTGCTTCACAGGTAGGATGGGACTTCCCCAGTCTAGCAGCTGACTCATGAGAACCAGGTTCACGGTGACGAGCTTCTCTCCCCTTTCTGCTAGTTCATAAAAACATCACTACCTGTTTAGAAAACAGTTGGTAGGACTGAAGCGCCAGCACTCAGAAGTGGTGGTTGGTCTTCCTGGCAGAAAGTCAGACCTAAAGGACTTCTGAAACCATGAGGTATGTACAAACGTTTTCATACCTTTATAGGTATGAAAGCTACCTCATAGCTTTGTATCAGAACATTTCAGCATTTTAGAGAAACATTTGTAAATCACTTTAATAGAATTCAGTAAGTTTCTTTTGTGCGTAATGACGCGCTGCAGCATGCACCAATGTATTTTAAGAGTAGGCAGTATAGTTAACAAGCCTGTAACACAAACCCTGCTGCTAGCATTTGTAGTTTTACCCAACGCAGAGGAGACCTAAGCTATCAGTGAGATTTTTATTGTAATAACTTGTTATTAAATGAGTAAAAAGGAAGGATTCCCTTCACTGCCCAAGAAACCACATTTATCCCTATGGAGGTTTATAAAAAACAACCATGAGCTTTATACCCATGTCTATCAACTGCACACATTGATGAAACTTAAAACGCTTACAGAACATGCTTAGAGACCAGAGGCCAAGGAGATGTCTGAATTGCTTTCAAACATCTGAATAATTTAAACCTTCCTAATAGTAGTATCTTGTGCCTGTCTAATTTCAATATTTACCATTAATAAAAATAATTTCCACTTGTTCTTCTGGACAAATATGTAGCTCAAAGTATCTAATATGGCAAAGAATCACTAATAGCATCTATAACCCAGCATTGCTGATACCTGAAAGCTGCAGTCTTTATCCAGTCAAGGTAGTGCACAAGCTTCACTGGAAGGTACACAGGTGTGCTGTCTAATCCCTTCTCACTACACTACTGGTGACAGATGTTTTAGATTAGATATCATGTCCTCCTTAGGCTTAGTCAGAACTGTAAATATTGTAGATTTAAACCTCAGATTACCCAATCATACAGCTGCTCTACACCACAATCGATATAACAATGTATTTTGTCAGAGTTTAATCCCTGACACTTTATCTAATGACTATTCAGATTTGGATTTTTTATCGAAGTTTGGAGCCATATTCTTTTATATGTTAGCCTTTCTTTGCACTTTTTAAAGGAGGTCTGTTAAATGGTAGCCAGCTTTAGTTAGTATTTTATCATTGTTTTAAGACGTTTCTGTCCTACAACTGGAGATTTCCTTTCTTCTGTTAGGGGACACCAGCAGATGAGCTAGTGTCTAGCAGAAAGGAGGAGAGAATGTGAGTAGAAGGAAGACAAACATCTCCTAAAGCAGGTAGGCAAAAATTCCATAGGTCAGCGTCTTCCTCTGCAGGATTTAGCTCTGTTCCCACCTTCTTACCTCTGTCTTTTCATTTGGGCTAAATCTAATGTTTGTCTGACTGTCCCACACAGAGGAAGGGACAGGCTATAAAACTCCTAGATAGCAAGGCATGCAAGACAACTAAATGGTTCCAAATTGATTACTAGTTGAGCTTAAAAGCAAAGTTATCGATGCTAGTTTAAATTCTTGACTGTTGCTCATTTCATTATTTATAGAGCGCAGTACTTTCCAAGTCACTGCAGTAAGTTTTATAGTTTGCCCGCTCTACTTGAGGTAATAATTGTTGGCACGTAAATGATCGCAAGTGAAGTTGCCCTCAATCTTCTGACTGCTTTCCTATTTTTCTGACAACTATTGTTTGCACGTACATGGTAAAGTGCCGTTTAAATCCCCTCTACCTAGCTCACCTCCAGAGCGCTAAGTTCTGACAGGGATTTCAACATCTCTAGCTTTCTTCACAACGCCCACACCCTCGGGGGGTGGGGGTGGTGGAAAAAGTTCATTTTACTCCCAGCATGATGTTTCATTCAGTAACTGCACAAGGCAAAATTGTCTGATAAGAGTCTGTTTCTGTCAATGTCCAAGCTCTAATCTGTTGCCAGTTGTGTTTCAGAAACCACTGCGTAGATGGGTCAAGGCTCAGGCCAAAACCTCTGCAGATGCAGTTCCCCACGCAACAAGCTGCTGTGCTTAGCTGCAGGCAGAGGTTAGGGAGCTGCAATCTGCTCTGTTAACACTGTCAACCAGGAGTTAAAGCAGCACCATCACAAACCTTAACATATCTTCTCTTTTTAAAGACCAATTTTACAGTAAGTGAAATGTTGATTTAATTAATCTTAAAAATACAAGTTCCTAGTTGTGCTCAATTTCAGTGGACATATAGTCAATATGCTTTTAAATACCTCATTTAACTTCAATACTATAAACGCTGTGCATTGTTTTAAGAGTCCTGAAAACAATCAATTCCCTTCCATATCCCTGGAACTGGAAGCTCCCAAGGACAAGTTCAGGTGTTGCTTCACCTATTATGTTATTTACTACAAGTGTGCTCTGTGGTAATGCAAGGAGACAGACAATATTGAGGGAGTCATACCACATAGCTGAACTCACCTTGCATGAGAGGGCTAAGCAGTCTTTTTGCCAGCCTTTCTAAGTGTTTCCTGCCAAGGTAAGTTCATTTCTAACCACTGAAGGAAACAAAACAATGGTAAAAAGATGCCTGCAATTCACTATTATACAATACAAAATACAGGAAAAGCGCATCAATAGCATAACTGCTGTTTTATTCATATAAATAAGACTTTTTAAGGTATTAAAATAATCAATAAGAAATAATTACAAAAGGATAAATGCGAGCTGTCCAAAAATAATAGTTTTGCCTGCCTCTCTGGAATACGTCTTCATATGATGAAGATGGCTTAAGAGAAAGAGTTTTGCTGTTACGCAACATCTCTAGCTATTGCAGGCAAATAAATTCCTGCTACCGTTTAAATGGTTTCCATCCATAAGACCTTTGAAAAAGTCTCCTTGAAGTTCAATACTACACTGCATGGAATTGCTTTCTGTAACGCTTTTTGTTACAGCAGTCACCGAATTAAAAATAAGTCATACTTTTCAAAATAGCGTAGTGCAACTTTGCCCAATTGAACACAGCGAGTAATTTCTGCTGTCACAGAGCCAGGCTCCTCACTTTCCAAACTTTTGGGTTCAAATATGACTCCTTGCAACCCTCCTCCAGCCAGGGAGGCTTTTAGTTTTTTCCTCTGTATCCACGAGAGAAGCTCAGTATGCTACTTACCAAGAACGTGTCTGCTTTTAACAAGTCCCACTTGTCCCCAGTACAGCACAGACAGCTTCACAACTGGGACTCTGCAAAGGGAATCAATAAATAAAACGTAGCGCTCCTGAAGATGTCAAAGTTACACATTATCACAAAGTTAGATAAATCTGTAGTGCTGACCTTGCAGAAGTCTGCTTGCCTGTTCACCCACAGCATTTGACCTTGCCAAAGGTAAAAGGATGATACAGCACTTAGGAAATCAGATTGAATGGCAGGCTGCAACAATTTATACACAGCACCTAATCCCGGGCGTACAGTGGGGCCACTGCTTGGGCAAGTGTACTATATGCAGGATGCCAACCTCCTTCCACAGCAAGTCCAGTTAAGGATGATTTCAGCAAGGATATAGGAAGGGTAATACGCCAGCATCTGGAGCACCCCATCTTTTGCCTAAGTTTAAAAGTTCTCCCCTGTTTTCCCTTCTCCCTCTCAGAGCTTCTGCTGAGACCTAGACCTTTATCATCCAAGTGCATAGGGCGAATAGTCAGATAATCACAGTGCTGTCATTATCGTGGAAACATTACTCTCTGTTACAAAGACATTCAAACTCAAGGGAGGTGACCCAACTGACGTACCAGCAGAGGTAAAACAAAACAGCATTTAGGCATCCAGACCTCTGAACTGCACCTAATCACATTAAATATTTATGTCCTCCATGTAATAGAATCATAGAATACAAGGTTGGAAGGGACCTCAAGGATCATCTGGTCCAACCTTTCTTGGCAAAAGCACGGTCTAGACAAGATGGCCCAGCACCCTGTCCAGCTGAATCTTAGAAGTGCCCAACGTTGGGGAATCCACCACTTCCTGGGGAGATTATTCCAATGGCTGATTATTCTCATTGTGAAAAATTTTCCTCTTGTGTCCAATCAGAATCTCCCCAGGAGTAACTTGTACCCATTAACCCTCGTCTTTTCCATGTGACTCCTTGTAAAAAGGGAGTCTCCATCTTCTTTGTAGCCACCCTTTAAGTACTGGAACACGGTGATAAGGTCTCCCCTAAGCCTTCTTTTCCAAAGGCTGAACAAACCCAGTTCTCTCAGCCTTTCCTCATATGGCAGGCTTCCCAGTCCTTTGATCATCTTTGTGGCCCTTCTCTGGACCCTCTCCAGCCTGTCCACATCTTTTTTGCATAGCAGGAACCAAAACTGAACATAGTATTCCAGGTGTGGCCTGACAAGCGCTGAGTAGAGTGGGATAACGACTTCTTTATCTCTGCTGGTGATGCTGTTGTTGATGCAACCCAGCATCCTGTTGGCTTTCTTTGCCGTGGCAGCACGCTGTTCGCTCATATTGAGCTTGTTGTCCACCAGGACCCCCAGGTCCCTTTCCACAAAGCTGCTCCCCAGCTGGGTAGATCCCAGCCTGTGCTGCACTCCTGGATTATGTTTTCCCAGGTGCAAGACCTTACATTTGTCTTTGTTGAACTTCATATGGTTCTTGTTAGCCCACTCTTCCAGCCTATCCAGGTCTTCCTGCAGGGTGGCTCTCTGGAGAGAAACAGAAACCCAGAACATCCTATGTCTGCCTTTCCTCTCCCTAACAAGGTGCGATGTTATTCACGAGGATACATGCTATTATGCCTTTGGATATTCTGCAGTTTTGAACAGAGCAGCGGCACATAAATGGTAGAGGGATGAATCATTCACTTAGTGCACAGCATCGCATCCATCACTGCAGGACTCAGAGGCTCCCCATGCAGAGCAGCCTCAGGCAGGGGCTCTCAAAAGCGGTCCAATCCACCAGTTTTATATTTCTGCCTCTCCTTAACATCCAGTTTTCTGCAAATCCTACAGAGCAGATGCACTAGAGTAACCGTTTATTATAAAGTCTCCTTCTAATCATAGGAAAAGAAAGTTTTAGAAAGCTAGAATTATTTTAAGACAAGCACAATTCCCAAGATCCAGCTACCTCAGGCTATCACTGAAATACCTAAATACACCGAAACAATTCAGGCAATGAAAAGCAAAAATGGAGCCCTCATTCCTAGCAGGGCCATCCTCTCCCTCTCCTGTAGCTTACTGCCAACAAGAGATAAGAGCTACAGATTGGAAAGGGCTGGATGCAGGAACCGCAAACAACTGCTGTGCAGGATTAGCATGTAAATGAAAGTCTCCTGGTTATCTGTCTCAGGGTACATGCTGGAATTTCAAAGGCTTGGTTTCCCCCCCCCATGGCCAGAAGCGATAAAACTTTTTCAGGCTTCTAAGCCAGTTTGTAACCAAATGGGGAAACAACACTCACTTTTCAGAATTGGGCATGACCTCTAGCTTACTTTAAAAGGCTCTTCAATAAGAGGACAATTGATGTAGCAAGCAAAAGTGAAGTACAACAAGGAACCTTTAGGTGAAAATACCAATAGTTCAGAAAACCGCAATGCCAGACAGTCCTCAGCAGCCACAAGGTTAGTTTTCACCCAGGAAAAACAGTCTTATTAAAAGTAAGGAACACCGTGTGCTTGGTAGCTCTCTAATTTCACGAAAGTAAAGCTGTATCCAGTGAGCCTGTCCTGAAATTCTCCCTCCTCCCTCCAGTACAGCAGTTTATTTACCAGAATTGCATGCAGCTCGGAGAGCAGCCGGAAGGCAAGAGGGGAAGAGAATGCTGAAAACTTTTTACAGGTTCTGCTCTTGTTTTAACTTAGCTGCTTGTCCAAGCAACTGTACATACTACTATTTTCTCCAAATCCAGACAGAAATATGTACAATGTATCAATTCTGCTTGATTTTTCAATGCCTGGTAGCTTTTTCCTCCAATGTCTCAGAATGCAACTAAGCAGACATTTATCAGTACAGATTCTCTGCCAGACCATGATGAGAGCCCATTTTCCAGATGAGTAAGAGTGCACCAATGGATTTCCTTAGCGAGTGAGGCCTCAGAGCGAGGTTGCAGAAGAAAGGGCATGAAGAAGATGCAGAGCTTCTCAGAAACTCCATCTGCAGGAAGTTTAGCCAAAATTTAAGGAACCCAACTACAGAAGTTATAGAGGAATGCCTTGGTTCAGAGGAAGGAAAAGCTAATGGTCATAGAGGAGAGCTAAAACTCTCTAAGAACGTAAATACAAAATAATGCTCAAAACTGGTGAGTGAACAGAAACAAAATATAAGAAATGGATATAAAGTTTTTAATGTAGATGTACAGCTGTTTCCTTGCCCTGTGTAACATGGAAAGATATGGGTTCAACACAACTTTCAGCAAAGCCCAGAGTTCTTGCAATTATCAGCCCACCCCCCCATATGTATCAACAGCAAATCTGTAGCCTGAAGAAGACCCCCCTCAAACATTTTCCCCACAGCAGGGGAAAATGCAAGGCATGCCACCAAAGGGTGTCAGAGAAACTGGCCAAGTCCCACACCAAGGTTAGACTGCTCTAAAGCATGGCACTAGGTCCAAAAAAGCAGCCTGTTGGTTTATTACAATACTGTGACACTGTTTTCAATGAACTAGAGCAGAAACTGGTGTTTTCCTACATATACCACAAAACTTCCATCCCAACGAGTCAACCGTGGATCACAGCCCACCTTCAGGAACACGTTAAAACATCAAGCTACTTACACTCGTGCTAAAACTTAGGATCTAGCCTTGTTTATAAAGGTATATTACTGTCCTCCACAGATGCCAGCCAAAGACAGACTGCTGCAGATGACAAATGGGGATGCACAAATCTTTACAAGCAAGAAAGCCCCTCCTGCCGTTATCACTGGCTGCTGCCCCGGCTGGGGGCTGCTGCCCAGTCTGGGGATCCTGCCAGCGAGAACTGATGAGCAGCAGCAAGTAAAACAGTGGATCAGTATCTCAGTCTGACAGGGTCGCGTTTTATTGTAGTCTCTGTCACAAGATTCAACCACAAACATATGGAGCTGCAGATCATAAGGTACAAATGAGGTACGTTGGTTTTCTTTGTGATGCCCTTACGAAGGCAAAGGCCCCATTGGATTAACGCAAATGAAAGTCAGAAGGAAGGAGACGGCCAGGATCTACCCAAGATCAAGCAGAGAAGAGTACAAGAAAAGCCGCACACAACCCCATTCTGTTCTTTAATCTCCCTATACAGAAGCCAATTGTAAAACTGGGAATCAGAATTAGAAATGCAACAGAAGACCCATTTTTCCACATCTCACATAGGAACACACAGGAAAACAGCCCCGCGTTTTAAAATCACAACTACGTTACTAATGATTGGCAGAAATCGTCCGAGGAGTAAGAGAACAAAGCGAGGAATTAATGACCAGATGCTCCAGCTGTACGAAAGCTGCCCAGAATTGCAATAAAGAACTGCGTCAGCCTTAAAAATCACTCTGTCTCACAGCTCTCCCCCAGTATTTGTTTTCCTGAATTTCATCACTCCTAACGTGCCAGCTTCTACTTCTAACGGAGCTGCCGCCTTCACGCCCGAGAAGCGGGGCGGCCAGAAGCCAGGCGAGGCAGTCGTGCCCCGCACAGCCTGGCAGCACTGCCAGCTCTCCCCGCCAGGACCCTGCCCACGGAACCACCTTGTCCCCAGAGACATGAGCGTCGCGAGGCTTTACCCAATCCCTTGTGCAGCCTGTACAAACCAAAGCGATTTTAAAGAAAGAATTTTCCCAGCAGAACATAATGTTCAGAAGAAAACTGATTTGTCTGTACTTGAAGGTTAAAAATACCACCTTGTTAAGACTATCGTATAAATCCCTGTATTTTTCCTTTTTTTTTTAAATTACTATATTTAGAAACCTAATTTAGACTCCTACTTCCTGAACTATGAGGAAGCATGAGATGTTTCTGAATGTTTTACAATTTTTGCCATGACTGATCTTACACTACTAAATCTGTGTTTTACAATGGGCTAGATCAAAGTAGCCTGCCCTGTACAGGTTTGTGCTGAAGCTTGGAAAAGGTACTCATGGCAGAGCAGGGGCAGACAAGAAACCCTCATGCCACCTTGGCCAGCAAATACAGTTGTCTCATGCCTTCCCCGCAGCAAGGAACGCTGCTTACAGAGAAGCAGCCACGCCATTTACCTTCCCACTCTGCATCACTCACATCGCTTTACAT